GCTCCGTTGCTGCTGCTGGCACTCATCCACCCTTTCCTCTTCCAACAGGGAAAGGAGGAGGAGACTGCCTCCACCTACTCCACTCCACTCGCTTGTGTGTGTGTGGCTGTGCACGTGCACCTGGCTTTAACGGCCGTCTATTTCCCCATGAGGAGGAGGGGAGGCGTGGTCATGGGTCTCTGTAGACATGCAGTTTCTCCTTTGTGGACATGCAGTTTATAAGTCCTTTCTGCTTTTGGTTTTCATTGTTTTTTTGAGTGGAAAACATACATTGGGTTGTTAGGGACATAGTGTCCAAATTTGGTGTCAATTGCCCCAGTGGTTTCTGAGTTGTGTTAATAGCACAAACAAACATTACATTTTTATTTATATAGATAGACTTAGAATTTCATCATCAATGTTTATTTTAAAAAATCATAATGAAGCTGTTACTAATGTATGAAGGACAATAATTCTCCCACTTGGGAATCAAAGGAAGCAAAATAATATTCAATTAATTAATAAAGGTTCTTTTCAACATTGTAGACCAGGGGCCCTCAAACTTTAAACAGAGGGCCAGGTCACAGTCCCTCAAACTGTTGGAGGGCTGGATTATAACTTGAAAAAAACCATGAATGAATTCCTGCACATATCTTATTTGTAGTGCAAAAATACTTAAAATACAATAATTAAAATGAAGAACAATTTTAACAAATATAAACTTATTAGTATTTAAGTGGGAAGTGTGGACCTGCTTTAGGCTGATGAAATAGGATTGTTATTGTTGTTGTGTGTTTTCAAGTCATTTAAGACTTAGGTTGATCCTGAGCGAGGGCTGGGTAAGTGGTCTTGGAGGGCCATATGCGGCCTTTGGGCCTTAGTTTGAGGACCCCTGTTGTAAACCATCCCTGCTGTGACTCTTCCATCTTTCTTGTATCAGCAATGCATGTGGAACTGAGAGTCCAATATTGGTAAACAAGTATTCATCTACTAAAAAAACCCTGATGCATCCTGAGGCTAGAAGTTTGAGACAAATTTCTTATCTGAGACTGCAGCCTGACTGCAGGAGCGGATGCGAAACATGAGAAAGCCAGCAACTCTCCCACTTGGGCTCCACATCCCCCCTTTCACAATAAGATCATAATGGAAGGAGGGGAAAGAAAGGGAAAGGAGAGAATAAAGGAAGAAAAGGATTGGTGAAGAGAAGAGAAGAATGGAAGGAAAGGTAGAAGGAAAGAAAGAGGAAGGAAGGGAAAGGAGGCAGGGATGGGAGAGGAAAGGAAGGGAAAAGGCAGGGAAGGAAGGAAGGAAGGAAAGAAGGAAGGAAGGAAGGAAGGAAGGAAGGAAGGAAGGAAGAAAGAAAGAAAGAAAGAAAGAAAGAAAGAAAGAAAGAAAGAAAGAAAGAAAGAAAGGGGGAAACAGGTGAAGGGAAGAGAAGAATATAGAATCAGAGAGTCTTAGAGTTGGGAGACACCTGGTGGGCCATCCAGGCCAACCCATTCTGTGAAGAAGCAGGAAAGTCACATTCAAAGCACCCCCAACAGATGGCCACCCAGCCTCTGTTTCAAAGAGGCTTTTGGAGTGTTTTGGCCAGCATGAATATAACTGAAAAGTCTTGCAGCTTCAGTGGCTGCTTCTCATTACTTTATTTTCCATACCACCTTGCACCTTAAGAGCATGGCTTCTACTAACCAGCAGGAAACCTTTGGTGGAAGGAGTTTCCTAGCCCAGATTGCTTAATGTCTGCAAATCCTGTTTTCTGATGGCCACAGCAATGTGTGGCTGGGTACAGCTAGTATAAAATAATAACCAAGTAACTAAACCTTGATGAAGCAGTTTATCCCTAGACATCCTGAACAGGTGACTTGCTTCTTAGAGCAGTTAACTGATCCCATCAGTGCTCATTGTTCTCCATAGATGACTATGCCATTCCAAGGATCTCTTTCATATCACACCATTAAGCACCTTGATACCACCTTACTTGCTCTGGCTCTATCCTATAGAATGCTGGGATTTATAGATCTCTAGTGCCACACAAACTACAGATCCCAGGATCGTGTAAGATAGGCTAGGACAGTTAAAAGTCTAGTGCAAGAGTAGACAATCAGGAGTCTTTCAGATATATTACTAACTTCCACAAACTTTTTCGATAGAGTTACAAGCTGGATAGATGCGGGGAATGCCGTGGATGTAGCGTACCTGGATTTCAGTAAG